CAGAAATAGTTCATGCGTTTATCTACAGCTGTAAGAACATATTAATTGATCCAGTCCGTTTTGTGGTGTTATTTTTTGATCACCTGAGATTCTTAGCAACCCTCGCCCGAAGCCATCGCCGCTGCAGACCAAGGCAAAGGGAGCATATGATAATGGATCTCATTTTCCATTTGTTTCTTTTCATGTTGTTCCCCATTCCGCTTCGTACAGCGTACATTTTTAATATGTTTGTACTATGGTAAGTAGGAGCAAAAACTCCTCAAAATACAAAAAAAAAAAAAAACGGAAGACAACGCAAAATCCTATTTTAGATTAGAAATAATCAATTGACATGCCGAAAGTGTAGCTGCTGATTTCTGACTATCCATAGTGGTCGTTCCATCCGATAATTCACCAGCTTTGCTTACATTCACCATCGAGTTTGATGCTTCAGGGGCATAATCACTTACAGTAGACTTGCTGGAAAGAGAAAGCTGGGCGAAATGCGAGTCAGAGAAATTAAAGCCAAAGACTCTCTGCTACATTTTGCAAAACCTTTGAATGCTAAAATTTCACTTATACACAACAAACAGACCTGCTTGCTTCAAGCTGCTGTCGACGTAAGCTACTTTCATTTTTCAAATGAGCGTGAATATTGATGACGCCGTTTCGCCGGCCATCTGATTCCGCCAGGCTGTGGTTGTCCAGTCGACGAACCACAGTGCCATAATCGTCACTGCCTAAAATATCTGTGGTATTTGCAACTTACAAAATGATGCGGAGACTGAGTATACAAGGACAGAGCTCTCTATCTCAGTAAAATGTAATAAAAGTGGGACAAAAATGAGGACAGAAACTGTTTCAAAAAATGCCTATAAAAAATAATTGAATATTTTTCTAAAAACCGAGCTTTTCAAAGCAATTTCTCAAGTGAATACAGTTTCCGGGCAGTCCAAGCCACCCAGAATCATAACTCCACTGCTGACAGGGTAATCTTGTCAAAACTGGGATCTTTCTTTCCAAATGCGAGCAAGAAAAAAAGCAATACAAGCACAAGATATTGAAATTTGAAAAAAAAAAAAAGAAACTTACATCGCTTGCCACTAAGATGATGTTGCTGCGATTTTTGGAGATTTCGCTCTTCCTCGCCATCATAACTCATTTCCAATGAACAGGCCACTTCATCATCTCCTTCCTCTTCAGCGATCGCTTCGCCTGAATATGACGAAACTGTCAGCGAACGACGAAGGCGTAGATGAAAACGAAAGCTGGTAGAAGTAAGCAATCAAGGCAAAGTTTGCTGGTGAATTTTAGGAAGTGCGATTTTCAATGCGCAAAGTCTGTGGACACAAAACCTCAGTGCTGCTGTGATGCAAGCTTATATCGGATTTAGCCATGTCAGGTACTTTTTTGCAATCAGCTCACCTTACACTATTCCAAAAAAAAAATCAACTTTTTAATTAATAATGATTAAAAGTGGAGTCTGATTTTAAAACACACAGACCTGAATTTCTTTTAAATATCCGACAAACTTCTGTAAGTTATCTACTGATCACAGTTCATTCGAATAAAACAGCCCGGTAATCCAGACGAAAGTCAAATTACAGTCACCCTGTGGCAAAAAAAAAAAAAAATATGGGAAAAACGAAGAAAAAATTTCATTCTCATGAACAAATTTTGGAGAAAGAACAAATCGAACCAACGCTGCCAATTTGATTCAATTCGTAGTGCCTTGTGAGTGTGGATGGCTTTTCATCACCATAGTGTGCAAGATCTAATAAATTTTCCCAGACGGTGGAATCCCAGGGTTCGTTAAACACGGTGCCTGCAACGCTCACATCATCGTCATCCTTTCCATTCTGACTAGTCGCTGTCGCTGCTCCTGCAAACTAGTAGCAGCTCGTTCATTGCAATCATTTGAAAAAATTCTTGAATCGCAACACAGATTTCAGAACGTTATGACGATACAACTGTGGAATCGATGTTGCTGCGGTTCAAAATTTTTGATTTCAGTCGGCTTTTCCACCAAAAAAAAAAAAATGGATTCAAGATCCAAAAAACTTGTAGACTTGAATTTTTTTCATAATGCAAATATAACCGTTGAAGCTTAGATTTGCGGAAGTGTCTCCATGATCTGATAAATGCGCGTATTCGGATGGCAAAGATTCGCCAGTCCCATTACTGCAAACTGGAGTTTCATCAGAACTTGGCTGCGAGCAGTTCGCACTTTCTGCTGACGATGGCTGTGAATGGAATGTACTGGATGGGGCTGAAATTAGAGAAAGTGATAACTAATGGCTTTAAATTTCACTCCCACTTCAGATTTTTCAATTTCATGTCTCAAACACGTTGCTTTCGAAAGCGACGGACAGACATGCCACTCTTCATACCGCAACCTACTGGTCGAAGATACTGAAAACTAACCTTCCCCCATCCCCTCCCCCTTCCTTCCCCTCACATTAACTCCGAGCATCGCTCCAGTTTCGACTTGCAAACTGACAGGAAGTTTGTCTGATATTCCAAAGAACGAGCTGTTTCTAGCTTGCTTTTTAAAGTAATCCTTGACTGT